TCAACATGAAGAGTGTCTTAGAATGGCGTTAGAAACACTGCGTAAGGAAAAGTTATATGTCAAATTTAAAAAGTGTGAATTTTGGCTTGAACAAGTTGGATTCCTCGGTCACGTAGTTATTGCCAAGAAATTGAGGTGGATCCAGTAAAAGTGGAAGCAGTAACTAATTGGAATACACCAACTAAAGTGGGTGAAGTTCGAAGTTTTCTGGGATTGGCTGGATACTATCGGAGATTAATAGAAGGATTCTCCAAAATAGCTGGACCAATGACACAATTGACAAGGAAAGGAGTAAAGTTTCAATGGATAGAAAACTGTGCGCAGAGCTTTCAGGAGCTAAAACGACGATTGATTTTAGCACCCGTGTTAGCTATACCCGAAGGTTCGGAAGGATTTGTTATATATAGTGATGCATCCAAACAAGGTTTAGGATGTGTACTGATGCAGGACGGAAAAGTGATTGCATATGCATCAAGGCAATTGAAGCAACATGAACTGAACTACCCGATGCATGATCTAGAACTTGCTACGGTCGTGCATGCTTTAAAGATATAAGGCCATTACTTATATGGAGGGAAGTGCGACATTTACACTGATCATAAAAGTCTCAAATATTTCTTCACACAGAAGGAATTGAATATGAGATAGAGACGATGGTTGGAACTTGTAAATGATTATGATTGTACTATCCATTACCATCCTGATAAGGTTAATGTTGTTGTCGATGCGCTAAGTAGAAAGTCAGTGGGACGACTGGCGTCATTACCTACTACTCAGTTGGAGTTGATCAAGGACTTAGAAATTTACGAATCGAAATGGTTGCCACACCAGAGCAAGTCACCACCCATTTAGCAACTTTGGTGGTTCGACCTACTCTTAGAGATCGGATCATTGAGGCACAAGTTAAGGACCCATTCTTGCAAAAGATCAAGAACGAGATTGGTACTGATAAGAGAAAGGACTTTAGAATAGCTTCGGATAGGGCTCTAATGTTTAAAGGAATGATTTGTGTACCTAAGGATGAAGTTTTGAGGAAGGAGATATTGGAGGAGGCTCATATCACTCTATACACTGCACATCCTGGCGGTACGAAAATGTATCGAGACCTTCGAGATATATTTTGGTGGAGGAATATGAAAAGAAGTATAGGTCTATTTGTGGCGAAATGCATTGTGTGTCAATATGTTAAAGCAGAACATCAAAGACCGATAGGGTTGTTAAATCCATTGGACATACTAGAATGGAAGTGGGAGAATATCGCAATGGACTTTGTGGTAGGATTTTCGAGATTAGCAGGAGGGTACAATGCTATATGGGTAA